GTATATGAACTAATGAAGTAGCGCACCTAACAGGATATCCTCTTTACCACTAATGGCAGGCTGATTGTTCACCCTCGATAAGCTATGTCGTTACATCTATATTTTATGTCAATCTCCAATGTCATGACTAAGAAGTTTTGGTTGAGCTTATCGCAACTAGTTAGGTGCACACATCCGATAGATGTGTTGTTTTGACTGTAGTTAATTTCTATAATTTTCCCCTTTTACGCCCACACAAGTCCTATAGAGCTCTAAGCTTTTCTTTAGAAATTAGTATAAAATTGATGCTATGAACATTTACATACATTTTAGAATAACAAATTTATATCTACGTAATTTCTATAAAAAACGACACTGAAGTTTTGGTGATATTAAGAAATTTTTTACATTTTTTTTCCTGGAATTAAAATCCAACATATTGAATTTCTTTCAATCTCAATCACAAAAAATAATTAAATTTAAATTGTTAGTAAAGAAGTAATTAATCTTTTTTTTCATTCAACATAATTACGTATGGTTTGTTAAGAAATGTTTTTCGATGAAGACTTCTTTCACAAAGGCTTAGGGTTAGACGTGTCCAAGTAGTTAGCATGCCCACACTGTGAATCCGAGGATTCATGGTTCCTGTTTTGTTACCACATAAACGTGCTCCGTTCGGATAAAAAGTACCCTAAAAACGTTGGCAGTAGGTGCTGTTGTAGAACTGCCTTCCCTCTCTAGTCTATCAGTTCGAAATTAAGGACGGCCATGTGCAGAAAGCTCTTTGTGTAGCTTTGCGCGAAATTCTGGTACAAACACAAGTTTAATTATCTGCACTGGTTAAACCTAAGCTGGCGAAGATACTTTAATGGACTGTAGGTGCAAGATGACATCAAAATGAGACTGATAATACGAAGACGAGTAAGAAGAGCGTATAATAACATTTCCACTACACTTTGAGGGACGAACTATACAATGTATAAGTTTATAATTCTATAAGTATAACATCTTTCGAATGTAAACATATAACAATTACTTTCAGGTGGCCATCGTTATAAAAACTTTTTTGATTCGATTATTCATAGCACACGTTTTCCAATTCAAAATCATTATTTAAACTAATATTTCACAAACCTTCACCTCAAGGACCGTGAACTTGGACCATATACTTACGATTACCTAAGTCTTTATAAAAACTGAGTTTTGATTGTATGAATTAGATATATTCATAACATTAGGCCGAGAATATCACTAACAACTAGAGTGTCCAACTGATGAAACAACACATTCTAATCACTACAAGTAAGAATGGTATATTTGATTAACTTATGACCTATATAGGTAATTTGTTTTAATAAGCAGTTAATATTAATAACACACATTATTTAGCTCAACGTTTATGTTACTGTTTTCCTAAATATATAGTGAAAAAGGTATTAGGTTTGGTTAAGATAATGAGAAAAAAAAGGACTGTTTGAAGCATGAGGGTACTTTAAAAAATAAGCATTTCTTGTTTCGAATATTAAAGGAACACTTCATGGCAATGAAAATAGCACAGATCTTCTTTATTTCTTATTATGTATCAAATTACATTTGACGATAGTAATTTGTTGTTGTTGACTTGTAATCCGTGAATGGAGAAGAAACGTGCATGTTGTTGTTTTACATTAACTCATCTTTATCTTTAAAAGGGTTCTCGGAACGTTATGTCTACGTTTTCTTTCCTTGATGAACTTGGGTAAAAATTTTAGGCTCAAAATTATTTTTGATATGTTTGTTTGCTTTTTGAATTTCGCGCAAAGCTACACGAGGGCTATCTGCGCTAGCCGTTCCTAATTTAGAAATGAAAGGCACTTAGTCATCACCAACCACCGTCAACTCTTGGACTACTCTTTTACCAACGAATAGTGGAATTGACCGTCACATTATAACGCCCCCACGGCTGAAAGGGCGAGCATGCTTGGTGTGACGGGAATTCGAACCCGCGACCCTTATCACCTGGCCCTAACCATTTGGCCATGCCGGGCCTATTTTTGAAATGAAATCAAATTCGCTTCAACTATGACGAAAATAAACAACTTAATTCAAAACTACAAACTTTCGTTATTGTGTTAATATAGCCCAATGATTGATGAAGAATCATAAGGTGTTTATTATAATCACCTAAATAGAAATATAAACATATGCAGCTGTTTTTTAGTAGATTATCACAATAGAGAATGATCAAATATCCCTTCAACACAGCCAATATAGCCATGTAACATACACACAGTAACACCGCTTCTCATTGTAGCCCCCTCTGGAAAACATTACTTTATTTTGCTGTTTCCATACAATCGGTTGTCTTCGTTTACGTTCAGGGCAGAAAAGATGTATAAGATAATATATATATATCACATATATCATGTAGCACAACAAAAGGTCGACCATGTTAAGAGCACGAATGAAAAAACGATTTAAAATCTGTAGCTAATAGACTTAAGAGTGGATAATATCGGTATTATAAAGTAAAAATACACCAAAACAGTAGTTTCCTGCAATGTAATCATATACCGCTCACATATTGTTCAGAGTTGTGATGTACGACGATTGTTATTTAGCTATTACTTTTTAAACTATTATAATTATGTGTGTATACAAAAAGTGAATCCGAAATTACAATACATCATGTTATTTTAAAACGTTTCCTCGTACATTATAGAGTGAAAACACTAAAATCGACTGCTCTGCTAAGAAGCTTATTATCTACCAAAACTGTATCGAGAAGGAAATAATTAATGTACGAACCTTATGATTGTTCATATACGCATATTAATATGTTCTTACAGGTGGTTTTTAATGGGTGAAGGAATTAAAATGTTTCAATAATTCATCCAGAATAGGTAAAATTTTTATTTGTATCTAACACTTAATAATTAAAGTATTTATGTTTCAATTTACAGGATGGTAATCATCTAGAGATTAACGAGTACAATTCTTCGCAAAGAAAAAAATAAAATTACATTACAGAGCTCCTGAAAATCTTGCCGGGTGAACATATAAGCACTATACTGCATGTTTAATAGTCATATAAAATTTCAACAAACCTGTTTGTTTGTCGATAAGCACAAAAACCACACGATCAGTTATCAGTTTTGTGCACACTACAGGTATTGAAACTTGATGTTTACCGTGATAAGCCCTCAGACTTACCGATCATCCACCTGAGCTCAACAAATGTAATAATGTAAGTATACGTGTATATGTAAAAACTGTAATTGTAAATGCACTTGCGCAGTACCTATATAGATATTTAAGTAACTATGCAGTTACCTCAGTATATACATATATATAACAAGTTATAAACAGCTTTTTGAATTGCAGTTACCTAATGTTAAAACTAGCTTGTGCTGAACACACACTGATAATTTCATTTACAAACAAACAAAAAACGCATCTGGTCTTCGTCAGCCGCAACAGAAAAGACATACGTTGAAGGACGTACGAAGGAACACAAACACATTACATTAGATGTGTGGCATTATCATGTGACGCTTTGAAGAAGAATCTAACGGTGTTGTGAATTTACATAAAAACATCTTCTGTAGCTACTTGTGATTTTGTTCATTTTGACACCATACTCGTAAAGAAGGATTTGTATACCCAGTAGTGAATCCTCTTTGCATAGCTCGACATGTCGCCTTGACAACTGATGAATAAATTATACTGTTATAGTATATAACTTTGTACAGAAAGGAAACTGCTTAGTTTAAGTAAATTTTACATGTTGAGAATAACATCTAACATGTCATCTTTGCGTAATCAGAACGTCTGAACTTTGAGCTATAGGGAAACGTTGCCGATGGGTTTTGCAAATTCAAAACTTTTCTTTATGCCGAAAAGTACGTACATCATCCTGTAAAAACATCTATATAATCTCAACTTAATGTTAACATTTATACTACAAGTACAGAAATTAAACTTATGAGTATGATCGTACGTACGATTAGTCTTGGGTCACTCTGATCGAACTCAGCCATGCTCTACTCAAGATGTAGTAGAGTAACATATTGTTTAACAGTGGTGATGCTGGTGATACGTAACAGTTCTCTCCTTTATACTCAATCATAAATTCGTAAAAATAGACGAGCTAAACACTTAAAAAACATTTTGCTTTAAAACATTACCTATTTTTTATAAATAAACCTACGATGCTATACACTTTCATTCTGTTCCTAAGTGGAGCAAGGCCTTAGGAAGAAAAGAACACTAGTCAGCAGCTCCATCACCACAGTGATAGCTGGCAATATCAAATCCCTGCACTCGTGCATGGGGGCGCTCAAAGCCGCTGGTGCTTAACATTCGTGTGCAATACTTTCACAACTACAGACGGTAACAAGACTGTCCACATGCCTTATAATAAACGTTTCAGTAAAATTAGCTACACAAAGCGTCACTGGAAGGCGTTAATATAGAATTATTGCTTAATAACATGGAATATGAAAGTTTATTAAATGCTGCGATGAAGGATAATAAGTGTGATTTATAAAAATCCAGTAGGTTAATACTTTGTTAATTACGTTATCAAATTATACTCAAGCTTAACATATCAGCCAGTGAATAAAATATTAAGTATGTACAACAGTAATTTCATACTGATCACTTGCATTCACATAAGAATACCGACATCATATGTGTTTGTTTTGTGGTTTTTATCACAAATTTTAGGACAGTTGGTTTCTAATGCTTCGTTAGCTTTCGGTGTTTAAACTATAACTTTAAAGACTTATATGGTTTTGAAACAATTGAGGTTTATCCTTAAGCAACAAAAGGAATGAATATTTCATAAATATAATAAATGATCATACTTTGCAGACATAATTATAATTATTTTAATTAAGTATGTGTATTTATTCCAAAACAAAGTATGGGTAATAGACACTGTGTGCCTCAATCGGTTGGTATAAACTTCGACGATTTACGTGAAACTATTAACATACTGTAAAATGAAAATGTAAGTGCAATTAAAGTTTTATGCCTACCGTTTCGACGAGGATTTGCCTGTTTTCTTCGTGTACACCTGAGACCTTGATCTGCCATCGTTTCATGCTTATAATAATATTATTTCATTTCGCCGTGTTTTTTTATTACTATTACATCAGTTCAAAATACCCACACTGTAATTTGATGATTTAACGAGACCACTCTCGAGTATTCTGAAATATTTTCAAGATGATGATTTGTCCCAGAAGAAAAACTTCTATTGAAGGTGTCTCCGCCACCTCTATACTATGTGAACCTGAGGTTTGATGCTCTGTTGGTGTCCCACACCCATAAGACCACGGTGACAGGCAAGTAATCTAATCTCTTGCTCTTCAAATGTGAACGCTTTCTATTGGATGAAATAAAAAGCTTGTGATTGGTCATTGACTTCCCACCTATCAGGTTGCTCCGCCTAACAGGGTTAGATATATTCATAACATGATGAATTAAATTTGAATAACTGGAAAAGTATATAATAATTATATCATTTATTCATAATTTCCAAGAATTAAATCGGATAATAAATGTTCAGTTGTACTATTCTGCTATACTTGTGTCGCGTATGAATATTAAGTTACGCTTGGGTTATCGTTGTAATATATTTGATTTCAGTAAGGCTTATATTGATAAGGGACATTTATTGTTATTTCGTGTTTTTATTGATATAATATTTTTGCCCGACTCTCATTAACTCGCAATGGACATTTTGAGAATAATTTTAGAACAGTTGGTTTCTAATGCTTTGTTAGCTTTCGGCGTTTAAACTATAACTTTTAAAGACATATATGTTGCTATTTAAATACACTTGTCCACGAATAAATACATCACTTGTATGCTACAAATGTATAATATATCACTAACAATTATATATAACAAGGAAACATTATCGAAAGATTAAATAATGCAAAAATTTCTCATTGGTCCTGAAAAATTAGTTTTGTCACTTAAATCTCTGAACCCATTGCCAAAATTTCACAATTCAGAAACCGTATATAAACTAAAAGTTAAACTTGCTTGAACTCCACCCTAACTAACTGACTTACTTAGAATAGCAAAGAAATTCACAAAATTGCTATACTGAAAAGGGACTTTATTGTCATTTTGTGTTTTTGTTGCATGCGCAGATTTAGATTGTCTGTTTGTGTGTATACGAGTTTTCGAAATTTTAATAGCTACAACCCTTAATAGGCTTAAGATTTGACAAAAGCCGTGAATATAACAGCGCCGTCTACAGAGGTAGGTTGGTTTTCGGGTAAGAACGATTTGATAAATCCGTTTTAAGAAAATCAAGTTCATTAGCCTTAAAACTATAAATAATTTATGTAGAGAATACTATAAAATTGAATATTTATATTAAAGACATTTTTTGAGAGTTAGCATTGTAAATCAATATTTTTTGTTGTTGTACGGAATTAATTAATTAAATAGGCTTAGGATAACTATTGACTTCTCCGTTTCATAAAACTATTTAAGTTTCTTTCGAGATGTCATTTAAAAGTTTGTAACAAAAACTTATTAAGTAAAAAAAATCAAAGCAGTATGATTTATTATGATCTAATTTTTTTAAAGACAGAAGTGAACATCTCTATAACGTAAGGGTTGTGCTATTTATTGACTGTCTTAAGCACTCTTTTATGCCATAAAATTTTTAAATAAACTAAAGTCAAATTACTTTGTTTTGGGTTTTTATCATTAAATTTAAACTTGTCAGTCAGACAGATTTCAATAAGATTTGACAGCTGTTTCGTATTCTTCATTACCTAATTTATTATTTTCGCTTTGAGAACAAGCTTAGTATTAATACTATTAGTACTTTTTCTATAATAGTACTCTATCGTAATTTCATTTCATGTGTGAAAAACAGTGATTCAAATGTGTATTTTGTCTGGAGACTTGGCCTAAATTATATTACTTAAATTAACAGAAAAATGAATGAATCTTTACAAGACAAAAGATAGTTATTTCATCACATGAGTCATGCATGAATTAATTCTATTAATTCTTCTCTGTTATTTATTCTACAGGTTTATTGTTTGTAACAGTAACATTGTAGTTTTCTTATCCAAATATTGTCTTTGAGGTGAAAAATAATTTTCTCACTGAGTTAATTTTGTTTTCAGGAATTCCACCTCTTTTCAGTAACCATAGTGTTCTTTTTCTTCTTTTTTAAGTTTAGTGGATGGACCAGCAGGACCTTTGTTGCCCTTAAATTTTATGTTATTCTTCTGATGCCCAGGATAATCTTGTAAATTTCAATAACTTATTACCCTTCTTTTCTCAAGATAAAATTTATTCGGGGATCTTAACCTGTCAGGTAGTCCTTGCATCCTGGGAATCATCCAAGTAAATGTAGCCCTCCTCTGAGCCCTATATAATTAAGTTTGTATCCTTTTTTATATAAAAAGCACAAAACTATAAACAGGGTTCAATGTGAGGTTTAGCTAGTATTTGTTTGTTATTAAGAACAAAGCTAAGTCCCACATAATTCAAGTGCAAATTAGCTATATCAATGCTTTAAGAATGGTTAGTTGCAGTATACTGAATTTTGGCATGTAATCTTCATAATTATTTCATAAATGCTAAATACAATGCTTGATGCTACTGTGCACTTTAAAGAAGTATTTCTTTGGTTGTACAAATTTCAAACGTTCTTCTTCATGTGGATTGAAAAGAAAGGAACTATGTTGTATTGTGATAGAATTTGTCATCAAGCATTAAGTTTTCTAGTGGCAGTGAAAACCAACTGTTTAATAAATTTAAAATATCTAACTTGGAATGAACTTAATAATAATATAAGAAAAATATATGCAAGTGTACCAATAGTATGGAATTAATATTACCTGACACCTGGGACAACAGGATTTGTCTGAGAGAAAAGTTTTACCATTAAAATTTAAAATGTGCTTCTCAGAAAAGTTTTATTTGTTTACATGCCATTCATTTTATTTCTAGAAAAATACTAAAGGCAAATTTGTAGTGAGCCATATCAGTTCCTGAAAGTTCTGAACTTAGAAGTCTAGTGCATGCAGATAAACATTTATAGATGCATACCTCTAAACCTCATACCAAAACTTTATAAACAAGTATACGCTTACCATTTGATTCACAAACTGTCAGTCACACACATAGTTAGACATGTTTAAATTAATGCAAAAATATTAGTACATTACTTTTGTTTACAATATTAACTCAGTAAAATTTGACTACCAGCTCTAGAAAGAATGCATAATGAAAAATTACAAAAAGTGTTATAGTATATATATGTATATATATATATATAATGCCATTTTAGTTCATGGCAGCATTAACATAAATCATTATTTCTTTGAAAACTTGTACATAGGGTATTCTACTTGCTGTGCTATAAAATTCTAATGAATAAATGTTAAAAACTACAATACATGGACAAATGTATATGAAGAGCTTAGATTCTAAATGTGGTACCACCATTCCTGACAGAATTAAACTACCAATGGCATGTTATTGGTTGTGGTCACTGTTAGATAAAAGCAAAACTAAAATTTATTTTCTATTTTTCTGTGTGTGTGTGTGTGTGTGTTTATGAGAGAGGGAGGAGGCAAGTATGTTTTTTCTAGCATTTTGTCCCTTGGATGATTAGTTCTCAAAATGTCTCACCTCTGTGTGTATACTAACCATATAACAAGAAAAGTACTAGTACAAAATTAACACAAAGTTACTGCTGAGAGTTATGTTTTGCTATTGTTACTTGTATGCTTCAAATGAACTTTATAAAGACAAAACAGTTTACCAAACATTTAATACCACACTAGCTTTTTTTTAACCTGTTTTGTAATATATATAGTATTATGTCTAAAACCATCAGAACATTAATAAGGCTTATGAGTTTTGTGAGTACATTGAGTCTTTTCCTAAGGTCATATTGTGCATCAGATATTTGACTAAATTTATAATTACATTTATTTAGTTATTTTTTATAAAATTAGGCTCAAAGTGTTTTGTAAGTCTTTTGGCTTTTTGATTAACCTAAATTAAAAACATAATTGCTAACCAACCTTCTGATATTTAGGTGTTATTCTCAAATTATGTTTTTTAAGATATTAAAATAATTTATTTTATTGTATGTCCTACTTCTACACATGTAGTTGTTTTGGCTGTAAATGTATAGATATATTTGTTTACTTTTTTCTTTTTCCAGGTTACACAAGTTATTCACATATGTAAGGCCCATTTGTCTTTAAAATGCTCTTGATCTTGTGGAGGTTGTAGAATTTCAATTATTAGGGCCTTAGTGAATTGTGGATGTACCCCAGAACTTCTTTAAGTGCAGTCTTCATCAGAAATTGGAACGATTGTGGTTTGGTCTGCTAACATTTCTCTAAAAGAAGCTTGTTCATTAATTTCAATGAGATGTCTGAGGTAAAATTATTACAAAATCAACCACACCATTGTTTATCTGAGAAAAGTACCAATGGTTATGTTGCAGGAACAATCCAGAATTGCAGTGTACAAGAAAAGTTTCTGGACAAGATTATTGCACCAGGACTAAGCAGGCTTTCCACTGCTCTAAGTGAAGGCTGTCTGGTCACCCAAGATTCTATGAAAAAAGCAGAACATGTGAAAACTCAGCCTCAAGTGATTGATTCATTTTCTGTACCTAGCTATAGTCAAGACACAAAATCACATAGAATGTTGTCACTACCAACTTTAAATTGTTATGCATTATCAGACTCTTTATATTCTGGAAGTGATAAAAGTAATAAAAGTTTTGTTCAAGCAAAATCATCATGCACTGTTTTTTCCACTACAAACCAGAGTAGGGTTTCAGAAAAATCTCCAGAAATCTGTATTTCAGATGGAAACTTGCTGAATAAAAATGGTACATTTGGGTTATTTGTGCCTATAAAACCGAAGCCATCACTTCCAATTATATCGTGTCCAACAATAAGAAAACCTGATAAGGATCTCCTAGAGAACTTAACAAGTTGCCATTTACAAAATGCATCTGCTATTCACTTGCCATTTGCAAATGTAAATGAAGTAGATTTCAAACAGGATGAGACTTCATTAGGAAAAGTACATGCACAAGACCTGTTACAAGATACATATTCAAAAAAAGACAACTCTTGTCCAGCATTGGAGCAAAAGGTTATTAGTAAGCTGAAATCTAATTCAAGTGATTCTATTAGACATGAAATTCAGGAAAATAATGAGAGCATAAAAGAATCAAAAAAACAAAATTATACATTTACATTCAGTGATGATTTACAGTTTTTAAAGTCTGAATTTAAAGACACTAAAAATATCCTAGAGGTCCTCACTGAGAGCTTAATCTGTGATGATAAAGAGCTTTTAAACGAGTCTTTAAATAAGATTGAAATGCAGTCTGACAAACATCAGTATGATAATTCTTTTAGGTATGTGGTGAGAGAAAGGGCACTTGAAAATGATGAAATTCTAATTGTAAATAAAGAAATGGAATGCAACAAAGAATCTTCATGTGAAATGGCAGTTTCAGAAAGAAAAAAAGATGTATTATTTCAGGATGAGTCACAAAAGGATTGTTTAGTAAATAATGAAGAGGGAATTAATAAAGTATTCCATTTGAATCAGAATGATGAAAATGAAAACTTAGCAGTTGCTGAGAAACACCAAAATACTGATGATTTGTCTCCACTTAATGTACCTTCAGAAAATGATGATTACACATCCATTCCATTTTCAGAAAATTATAATTCTCTTCCTGCAGAATGTCATAGACTGAATATCTCAATGGAAATACCTCAGGTAAATGAATACATACCAAATCATAAAAATGTAGACTTTGATAGCTTAATAAACTACTCGAAAGTGTTTGGTGATAAAGTTTTTTGTAAGATATCTTTGGATGAAATAGCTGAAAAAGCAATAGATTTTTGGAGTGTTAAAGATTTTAACAAAAGATGTTCTCAACAGACATCAAAATATAAATTAACAGAAACTTGTGCTGAATCTGAAAATTTAATAGACTTTTCTTCATTTGATATGTTTTTTTCATGTAACTTGCCTAAAACTAATATAGAGTCTATTGCAGAAAATAAAGATAAGTCTAAACAACAAAGGGAAAATAACACCTTAAAACAACAAGACATGAAAGCTAATCTTAATACAGTGGAAATTACATGTGAAAACAAATTTCCAAAAAATTTATATTCTTTACCAACTTCTTCACAAGATTTAGAGAGAAAGAGTTTCATTGAAATGAAAAAAAGAAGTGTAGATGAAACAGCAACCGAACACACTGAAATGAATGATGCATCAATAGAAAAATTTAGCTTGAACAATAATAATTTTGAAACCTCTCAAGTTATAATGACTGATCTCACAAATCCTGGATCAACTAGAGATGTCTTAACAAAAACTGAATCTGCCAGTCAAATTGAAAATATGGCTAAGAAGCTGTGCTCATCAATAACAGATGATATGTTCAGAACTTCTTCAAATCAAGTATTTACAGAAATTATGGACCTTTCATATGAACCATCTTTTGTAGACATTTCAGAAATTATGCAAGTAGATTTCAAAAAGGGCGATAATACTTGTAGTGATGTATATTCAAACAGTGATAAAGAGAAAGAAAGTATAGATCAACCCTCTATCTTTTGTGGCACAAATATATTACCTCTTCAAAATTTTGAATTACAGCCTGATGAAAGAGGTTTGAAATCAGTTGGTTTACTAAGTGATAATGAGCTTTATCATCATGTGGATTTTTTAAGTAATAATAAAACTCAATTGAAATGTGATAGTATTTGTAAAAATAAGGTTAAAAATTTTGATATGAATTTAGTACAAAACCAGTTGGATGAAGAATTATTAGAATCAACAAAGATTTCACATGAAAATCAACATTTGAATAGAAATCTTGAGAATGAAATGGAGAAAATGACATTTTTGAAAGGTCTTGGTTTGAAATCACTCTCCTGTTGTGACACTAGGGTAAATCCTTATGAACGCTATGCAAGTTGTTTGGATGTCTTAAAAGACAAAGTGATTAGTGCCTACTTAAAGAATCCTCTCATACCTTCAGACAGAGTAACATCCTTCTACTGCTATCTTTGCAAGACAGGACATCTTCAAGCTGGAAAAATGACATTTGTATCTGAAGTGTATCGCAACTTAAGAAGTACATCCAAACAAGTTTTACCAAATACAATATCTTCAAAAAAAGGTAAGAATTGTAAAGTAAAATCTATTGTAAGCATGCAGTATTGGAATGTGAAACAAATAACTTAAATTAATGTATATATATTTATAAATCTAGTACACTTTATCCAAAATGTTTTAACGATGGTAATCTTTGGGCCACTTTACAAGCATAAAATTTTTCCATTACATATGGGTCTTGTCATTTTTACTTTGTTTTGTATGTGAAAACAAAGCTATATAAAATTAACAGTCATAAAAAATGATCCTCACTGAGAAATGCCCACTGATGGACTGTCATAGTTGTCAGTAGTATTGTTCAGTAACCAACGCTAACAAGAAACGTGTTATTTAAACAGTAATTTAAAAAAATTTTTTTCATGGATCATCAGAATTTTTTTAGGGGGGGGGGCTTTGCAGACTATGTGATAACAGTATAATTTAACAAAACAAAATATACACATAAAAATTACTATAATATTAATATGAACAACAACCTTTCTTTCTACATTTCTATGTGATGGGTTGTGCCTGTTTTTGTGAGAACAGTTCTATGATGTGGAGCATAATATTCATCAGCTTTAACTTCAGATCAGGTTCAGTATTCATCCTGCTTCTTTATTTGGATTTCAGGGCTGCAAGTTAGGAAACTTTCACCTTGCACAGGTACATAGTAGCAAATGACATCAGAAAATAAACTGCTTTGTCTGCAAATTCAGGATACTCTCCTGAACTCTGATAATGAATTTCTTTTAAAATATCATCATAGTGTTTAATCAAAAGAAAGCTCCAACAAGCATGCTTCTTCCTATGTAAATAAACCAGAAGACAGGCCATCATTTTATAGGTTGTAAAAATTTCCACGTAAAAAAATACGTTTACCCACTTTAACTCAAAAGCCATATAATGTAGAGCTTTAGACTTTTCTATCTAATTTATATATATTCTGTTATGCGAGAACTATTCAAGTTGAAATCACAAACAAGGCTTTATTCAATCAAAACAAGACATCTAAAACATAGAACAAACAAAACTCGATCAGAATACAGAAATAACGAAATGAGGAAATACATAAACATAATAAAATAGATATAGATTTCTTTATCACAACAAATTAGAGGTTAAGTTGTTGAATGGGTTTCCTTTGTCTCTTGGACCTTCTAAGGGTAGGGATTAAATTTTCAGGAGTATGAACAATTGGGTGATTATTAGAAGGAGGTTCAAAGTGTCAACAGTCTCAGTTTCCTGAGAGGAGGTCTCCATAGATTCAATGGGGAGTGATTAATTTTCAGGTCAAGATTCATGGGGATTCGTCAAAGTAAATTGACCTGCTACCATGCAAGAGGCAAGATCTCTAATTGATATGGTATCTTCCCCACTGCCAGAGAACTTAAAGTAGGCATAATGAGGATTGGCTTGTATTAGTTCAACTGAGTTTACTAATGGTTCATACACAGAATGATACATGTGTTGATTTGGAAGAACAGGTCTGGGAGTCAAAAGCCATGTAAGGAGAGCAAGATTGGATGTAGTTTCACATGGATAAGAAAAGAGATGCTTGTGTGGTGTTTCATTTGTTGACATACACAACAATGATCTTGTAGCATTAAGTGCATCAGGTAGGATGGATTCCCACTGAGTTATTTTTAAACTTTGGCATTCCAATCCAAGTGATACAATAGTTTAAATAGTTCCATTATAGTGCTCAACACTGCAAAACGGAATTGTCCAACTAAAGCCAATATCACAACACATGAGATAATTTCTGAGTTTGGAGGACATAAAGAAATATTTTGATCTCAATGGACAAAAGGCGGCATTAGAAATAGGGAGAAGAGTTGGATTAGACATTTTATCATGGTAGAAGTATGGGAATGCAAATAGAGATCGGGAATAATCCTCCACAACTGTCAAGAGGTATATATTAGAGAATGAGGATATCGGAAGAGGACCTTTAAATCTATATTAAGTCTTTCAAAAGACACTGTTGCTTTTATTAAACGAGTATTTGCAGGTTGAAAAACTATGGTTTACATTTAGCACAAATGAGACAAGAGAATGTGACCTAACGAACTTCATCAATGGAATTAGATAGGTTTCGAGAACTTATCAAATGAAGCATGCGATGTACATCAGGATGAATCAGAAATGCATGCAATTTCTTGAGAGAAGCAGAAATGGTTGAAGTAGCACAAAATATTCTAGAAAAGACATCAGCTGAACAATTCTCCACACCAGAATGATTTTGGATATTATACAAATAATCAGTCGGCTCAGTTTGCCATCACATGGTCTTATCTTTTATCTTACCTGAATGTTTAATATTGAACATGAAGGATACAGAGAATTAATTAGTAAGCAAACACAATTGTCAACCAGCCAAAAAGTGTGTCCACTTTCTAATAGCATACACTTCCTTTTCAACAACATGGCAAGCCTTTTCAAGCTTTATTCCATCAAAATGAGACATCTAAAAAATAGAAACAAACAAAACTCAATCAGAATAAAATAATATAAAGAAATTTTAAAATACCTAATCACAATAAATTATATAAATTTTCTTTTATCACAACATCTTCAATTTTTAAGGTCTCAATTGTCTATTTTACTTCAATATGTACAAGCTCTTCCTTTTCATAATTATGATGCCTTTCTGTGGACCACTGTTTGGGAACTTCTGATTTAGAGCATAAGTAGGTATAGTATATTGTTTTATTTCTGTATGATTGACTGCTTTTTTCTTAATTGTTTTGATTTAAGATATAATATTTATTGGCAATAACTCTACATATACTTATTCATTTTTTATTTTCAAAGTGCAATTTGGGGCTGTCTAGCATACATTTTGTCCCCCTCCCTTCAGGTTTAAATACAAGTCTTCTTTTTTTTATATATATATGTGTTGCAACCAGCTTTGAGGGAAGTTTTAAACTAGGACTAGACAGTGGTGAGGGCCAGGAGAAACTAAATGCAAAAAAAAAAATGATGTAAAGAAATGTTTAGCATAGGAAACGAGTATGGAAGTAGTTCTAAGGGTAGGTTTAATTTTTATTACTGTAATGCTAGAAGTACAAGAAATAAAATAGATGACTTTAGGGCACTGGGAGGAATGGAGGATTTTTGATATAATGGGAATAATTGAAACATGATTAAATGTAGATGATGTTGATGACAGAAATTTCTTTGAAATGCAGGGTTATAGGTTATAGTATCTAATAGGAATAGATAATAAATAGAAGGGTAGGAGTGACAATATGTAAAATGTAAGTTATATTCTGTTGAAGTGGAGGATATTAAAGATAATAATAGCAAGTAGATTGAATCCATTTGGGTTTCCATTAATGGATATAAAGGGAAAAAACTTTTAGTGAGGATTTGTTACAGATCACCAGATGGTGCTGATTATATTAGTGAGAAACTGATTAGTTTTGTATAGATACACTAAACACATTCAGAATTATTTATTGTTTTACAGTTACATTATGATTACAAGGCTAGTTAAAATGACTGAGCCCAAGTGTAGGAAGAGAATAATCAAATTGTAATTATATTGATTGTCACGAAAATAATCAACTAATAAAAATTAGGGTTTCCAATTATAATTATTTCTGTTACAACTATCCAAGCAATTGAAATGTTGTATATTTATCTTAAATATTTCTTTTCTTTTTCACAAGAGATGAAACTGAAAAGAGAATCTTTGAGGTAGAAGCCTAATGCCTCTGGACAGCAGTTTTGCCTATTCAAGGCTCATAAGGACAGCTTGGGTCAGCTTGACTCAAAACCCCATATCTAATTGAAACATTGCTGTTAAGCAAAAAATTACTTAATGGTGTCTGTGCTTTGCCCAATTTCAGCCTTATAAGTTTTTTTATTATTTACTTCAAGTCTGTTCGTCTCAGGTGATTGAAGAGGAGTGGGCTCATGATTTGAAGATCTTAAGCTCAATCCTGTTATCATTAAACTTGCTTGCTCTGTCTTTATTATGGCAAACTATTAAAGTTATCTGCCACTGTCACTAGTTTTAAATTGCTGACTAGAGGGTAGGCAAGGGCTAGAGCACTAGCTGTGTTGTGTGTGTGAACTACACAACAGAGTGAAGGTGCAAATGACTGGCAACACCCATCAAATACCTCTAATTGCCCAGCTCTGAGATTCTGGCTTGATCACTTGGAGTCCTCTATTGAGTCTACTATAAACTATTTGACCAAGTAAAGTTTCACTGTTGCTTGCTAATAAGAGGTTGTTGGCCACTGAATTTTTGAGAGTATAGTTTTAAACATTTACACTTTTATTACTAGTGATTATGAAAAAAAAAATTACCAATAGAATATTAGGTGAGACAGACCCAAAGACTGCAGTATGTATTTGTATAATATTTATGACACAGCTTCTTATGAACAATGAGGATTTTGATGTTTATCTTATGTTTAAAAGAGTTTTAAATTTACTATTTTTTTTATAGATTTATTACCTAAAGAAATGAAAGCTCCAGTTCCTCCTTGCAGTGCTATATCTACAAGTCAACTTGAAGAAACAAGTCTTTTTTCTTATGTACCTGGCCAAAATAATGAGAATCAGGACATTGTAGCTGAGTCTTTGAACAGCAACAGCTGTAACGGTCCATTAAATACAAATACAGTAACATCTGAATTTGATATATCTGTGTGTAACACATCTCAATCTGCTTCACATAGCAACATTCTCCTAACCTCAAACCTTTCCACTGTATTCCACCCAGTATATACTAAAAGTAATTTATGTACTACTGTTCAGGGGACTTCATCAACTTTGAGGCAGAGTTGTTGTGAAAACTCCAAACCACCACAATCTTTATTGCCAGCTTTGAAACCTAAAACTACAGAGTCTTCAGAAACATTACCTCTAACAAGTCATCAGGTATCCCACAAAAGAGTTTCCTTTTCTCCAACACAGTCTGCTACATATACTCAATCTGTATCGAGACCTGTTACTCTAGTGACTTCGGATGCTTTACCAATTGGAATGAATTTATCTGAAATATCTCCTAGTAGTGCATATTTTTCCACCCAACACTCTTCTGTTATTACCACTGTAGCATCAAGATCTTTGGAATGTGTTAGTAACCTTGAACAAAGGAGCCAAGAAAATTATTCTGTTATTCTTGTGCCTTTTAGTAAGCCAGCAAACCTTATGAGTGGTGGAAAAATACAGATAGCTGTACAATCTCATAGATCACCAAACACACAAAATAAAGGAACTTTAAACCAAGAGAATTCCATGAATCATGCGAGTCCTGTGAGGAAAGGGAAACTTGAAAAAAGAGAAATTTCAGAGAATGTTTCTACCTCAATTATTTTACCTCACTCCAGCAATAAAACAGAAAAAGGTTAGTACTACTAAACAGATCTGATGCTTATGTTAAATCAAATATACTTACATTAAAAAGTGTATATCATTTAGTTAAAGAAATTAATATATAGCTTCATTGAATTTTCTGTCATATAATGTTTACATTATTATTTTTTTGTAGCCACAAAGTAGTTTGTTACTGACACTGAGACATGTATATTTGTACATTAGGAATGTCTTCCAGCATTATATTTTTATTGTTTATAAATCTACAAATGCAAAATTTATATGTAATTTAAATTAACTAAAGTATTTTCATGACATTTCAGTTTAATTTCAGTGTTATAGAACATGTGTTTTCTGTATGTAATTTTGAGGGTTCAAGTGGTGATATTAAGTAGAGCTGATGATATTTTGCAAATGCAGGTGAGAGAAAATCTGCAGATTGCTAAACTTTAATCCAATAAGGATCAGCCTATCCCTTATACATCAGATGCTTGTTTTTCTGTTCCTTGTAATCAGAAAAGACAAGTCCTTTTCTTTCTCCAGGTCAAGAAAACTAACTCTTATGCTTTTATCAAGTTATATAATGTTTTTGAGTAGTTGTGTATTTTTAATAATATATTTTAGATATGGTAGGTTATTCAAGCATTTATAACATCTTTTATTATCTACAGGTTTAAATAATCTTAATACAGGGTTTTCATGAATGAGTGCATATAACTTCAGTGCATATTCTTACTGTTAATCTGTGTCTTTGTTTTTTGTTTTTATAAATACATTGTACTTTGTTTTTGTAAAAGTTTAAATATTTCTCTTGTACATTATCTGAGCATATTTTTTTAATTGTGAATTCAGAACAGTATACTAACTTCTATGCATAATAAAGAGCTATTAACTTGCATCACTGCCATGAAGATTTCTGCACATTTCACAAGCCTTAAAACTAAGCTTCTACTGCTACACATATTAACATGTACTGCTCCAGCCTATGATGTAATCATCATTAGATTTTAGACCTTCACCAATAGGAGGGTAAGACATCTTCCAGACAAAGTAATTGTTAGCATGGAAACAAAGTATATTCTTTCTTTGACATTGTTTTGTTAAGGCATGTTTTTCCTCGGAGTTAATGGCATTTTTTCCCTTATTATTTGAAACTTTCTTTACAAATTGTAACATGGTTTTCTCTTTTTTAATTTTCTGGATTATGGGAAAGAAAGACACCAAATTTTAAATATTTGAATTAGAACTTTGAATTGAATTACTTTCATTTGTTTTTTCTTTTAATCAAATTTGTAAATTTGGGACACGTATCCCATTGTCTGTGATAAGGTTTCTTTGACAGTACTATTTTCTATTGTATTAACCTAGCACATGGGTTTCATTACATACTCTTCCATGAGGTATATTTACCATTGATGTACCAAGCCAATTTTTAATTCTAAAAAAACATGCCAATTTTGTGGATCATATGGATTAATAATTCATGTTTCTACTTTTCTGACATCTCCTGAGATTCTGACACTCCTCAACAAGATTCATCTAATACTGTCATGGTAACTAGAGGTACTCTGATGGTCACTGATGTTATTGCCTTTTTTTGCACCAGGTGTTTGATTAAATGTGATTTTGTAGATCCATGATTACAAATCACTTGCTTCCATTACTTCAGCTGAGCATGCCCTATTTTTCAACAATTTTCACTAATATTGTTTCCACATCTGCTTTTGCTTCTAGTTTCCTCTCCTCAACAGAAATCGGATAATCCCACTTTCATCCTTCACTGCTTGGATTACATATGTATGTGTCTTTTGTTTTCTCATTCTCAACTTGTTTTTTCTGAATCTTTGGTTACCTTGTTCTATGAGCCTCCATCACTTTGAGTCTTCTTTTTTTTTTTTTTTCAGTTTAAGGATCTCATCTTTTTTCCCTTTTCTTTCTTTCACTCTCCATCAATTTGTCTTCATCTGTTACTTATTCAACTTTTTGCTAATTGTCCACTTTTCACCTTATTTTAGAAGCTTTTCATTATGACCCTGTCAGCTTTACTAAGGAAACTTGCACATACCCATTTTCAATTTTGCCCTCAATTTTCTTTTTCCATTATGTGCCAGTTAACTTGTTTTTTTTGTTTCTGGGATATACTCTTTGGGTTTGTGTTACTTTATGACATTTGCCTCCATGAATCTTTTCTTAAGGATCTCTGTATTGCAGCTTTTGTCTGTGATGAGGTTTTGCAGTTTTTCTTATACTTTGAAATCTTGAGCTAATGAAGCTCATTAGCTGTCATCTCTGTTTACTTTGGTTTCTTGCCTCTCCTGGACCATGGGGCACCACTAGGTTTCTCATCTGTATAGATTTGCCTCTCTCCTGTTTTTAGTCGTCTTGTTACTATCCAATGCCCCTGTCTGAAGTCTGGTCACCACTAGTGTTGAAAGTGATGTGTTTCTAAAGCCTCCCCTCAGCCTTGGTCTGATGGAAGGCTCAGCTCTCCTACTTTGTACACCTATGGAATCCCTTTGTTGCAGACTACTGGGTTTCTTAAGTGCTCTCTAGGGGTTTATCCCTGCCTTTCCACTCTCCATCTCACCTGATTAGAATGCTGTGGGACAATTCCTTGACCCCACTCTGAGTGATTACTCCCATCTTTTAGTCATTCTGACAAAGATGGGAGACTGGTGTCCTGTTATACGTGTCCCACTTGAACCATTATTGTTTTTTTCTCAGTTCAAGATGGATGGTTTTCTTACTCTGTGATAAATACTCTTCCTGGATATGGATGACCTGGATTGAGGTCTTAGACACTTTCTCCATATCCTGATTTGTCTGTCCACCTTTCTTTCACTTCCTTCAGTTTATTCACAGTGATTGAACATTTGATTCACAGCCCTTTATCCCTTTGAGTTGACTATGGCCTAATATGTTTTTAATTTAGTCCAATTTGCTTTTTCTCAGAGGTTACATTCCCAAGGCCTACTGTTCCACTTCTCAATGGACATTTGGCCTCTACTTACCTCATCTGGTGTGGCTTTCACAGTTGAAATTTCCCTTTTCCATAGGAAGTCATCTTGTGTGCGGTGGCTGGTTTGACTCTCATATTCAGTCTTGACTCTCACCCCGTATTTCTTTCATTTGGAGGTCTTTCTCAACTTGTCTGCAGGACAGGCTCAGCCTACTCCTTCATGTATTTAAGACTTGAAGTTTCTGACATGTCTCCTTAATATCCTGAATAAGAGGATTTTTGAGAAATACTACTAACCTCTTTGCATTACCAAGAGCTATTGTCTCAGTGCATTTCCATATAATTTCTTGCACATGCCACAAGACTTGAACAAAGTTCCCACCCCTCCATGTTTGGCACCAGCCTGTGATGAAATCATCATTAGAGTATAGCCTCCACCAACAGGAGGGCAACACATCCTCTATGTGCAGTAATCTTTATGAACACTAGTACATCAACACAGGCTTATTTTTGATGAGGTAAACTAAATGCACCAGAAGTGGGGAGGTGTTGTAGAGAGGTGAGTATCTGAAATATATTTTCAGTTGAGGCAATAATTTAATTTCATCTGCAAATGTTACTAATCTACTAATTATACCACTATTAATATCATTAATGTAAATATAGAAAAACCAGAGGCAGAGGCATTAACCCTTGAGTCACTGTACTATTGATAAGGTTCTGTTCTTTAATAGATTATTTAGGCAGAGTATTCACGATGAAATTTGGTGGAATGGATGCCAACCACCTGTTTTAGAAACACAAGTATAGAGGACAATACTTCGAAAGTCTTCCGCCCTTTGTCTTCAGGTCAGTGTGTGTATTCCCGAGTGCTTGTGTATGCATGGCTTAGATGCTGTGCCCCCGCCTATATGTGCTCCACCATTTCCGTATTCATGGCGTGTTAGATCCCACTTTTGTCCCCATTTTCTTGTAATAATAATTCATGATTGTGTGGCAGCTAAGCATCGGTAGAATTATCGATGTACTGCTGTCTATGATGATGATGTGTGTGTATGGTGTTGTCGGTTGTTATAGTATTCTGGTGGATGGTAGATTGTGGAGGGCATCTTACCCAATCATAACATGCCCTCCACAATTCACCAAAATACAATAAAAACTGACAACACCATACACACACTGACCTGAAGACAAAAGGGAAAGACTTTTGAAATGTGGTTGGTTCTCTATATTTGTGATTCTACAACAGGCAGTTGCTATCCATTCAACCTAAAAAGATAAGGCTCTAGTTTGACTGGACTCCATTAATAACAACATTTTCGTTTCTCTCATCCAACCATCTTAGAATTAAATACTATTTTATCTCTAACCAAATCTATTATGTGGCATCATACAAAAGTCTTTGTAAAAAAAAAGTTACAGATTTGTAAAGGCAAATTTCCTCTAGTGAATCTAAGTTGATCTTATATTATTTCATATTTTACTAAATAATTTTGCAAAGCTTCTTTTATCAGACTCTCAAGGCAACTCTTATCACCACCTGTAAAAAATAGGAGTAACATCAGCAACTCTCCAATCTTTATGCACCTACCCACTGTCTATTAACTTACCAAAAATGAGAGATGGGGTCACATATCTGATGTTTGACCTTCTTTAAAGTCTCAGAAAATCCATGTGTGGTTCTGGTGCTTTATTTGTTTTAGTCTTCATGCTTTCTTATTGCCGTCAAGGGTTTAATATATACATGGTTTATGCCAATCCTTGAAATTTCCTATTGAATGTTCAATGTCAAGAATATTGTAACATCCATTTTTGTAAAAACAGAATAAAACATTTGAAAGATCAGTCATTTCAGTGACCTGGCCATAAGCACACTTTAAGGACTCAATCCCCATTTTTACATTTTGCATACCTTGAGCATACTTAAAAACAATTTGTGGTTTTGTTTTAACATTATCAACCATAATGTTTCCTATAATCCTTTCTGGCTTTCCTTTTATTTTTTAATCAAATTCCTAGATTTTTTTATAGCTCAGTATATCGTCCATTCTATCTGTCAATTAAACCTTTTA